AGATTATCATAGAGTTATAGAACTGTAGAGTTGGAAGGGACCTCGGGGGTCATACAGTCCAACACCCTGCAATGCATATGTGTATGTGTGTGTTACTGCTAGCATTCTGGCATGTGAGACATGGGAAGGCGGGAGGCTCCCTTCTAAGATAGCCGGTGATATCTGCTGTTTTCACAATTAACTATATAAAACAATGAACACATTTTTAAAAATAAAAACGCCTTCCTGAGATCATTTAAATTTACTAACTTTTCATTTCCTCCCCAGATGCTTGCACAATTATTCCTAGAGCCAGGGGTTTTATTTTTGTTTCTGCACCTTCAGTTCCAATCATACTTCTGGATCACAAATCTGCAAGCACCCCACATCTCCTTGACAGAGTTTAACAGCACAGGAAATCTTACTACACAAGACAATCCAATGATACACCCTCATCTTAGCCTACACTGGCAGCAGCTCACCCAAGTGCCAAGGAAGAGAGGCCTCTGAACAACCCTATCAACTGAAGATACCAGTAACTGAAGGGGAAGCTTCCAAAGCGTTCTCACAGGAAGCTTGAAACCCATCGCACCCCTAACCCTAACCCCAATTATTTACGAATTTGTCAATTAAATGTGTATACCGCCCTTCACCCGAAGATCACAGGGCGATTCACAACATAAAACTACAGAGAAAGGACACAAAATACATAATAAACCAACAGTCCTCGCCGTCGCCGGGTGCAGAACTTGGGTCTACCTCCTTCACTGTTAACAAGCGGACACCCCTCCAGGCCCCCCTCTGCCGTGAGAGCATTTCTACGGCCCAAACGCCCCCCTCTTCTTGCCCCCCACCCAGCAAATGCAACGAGCTGAGGATGCGTCCGAGTCACCGGTACCCCTGGCAAGAGGCTCCCCTCCCCGCCGCCCTGTCCCGCGCGGCCCTGTCAGCGCCAGGCGCGTTTCCCGCGTGCGGTCTCTCTGCTCCAAAAGGGACAAAAGGAGACCCTTTCCCTACCCGCCTCCCTCACGACCCAAGGCGGACGGGAGTCGGCCGCACAAGCCCAGCGAGGCAGGTTGGGCCTTCCGTGCCAGAGAAAGAGCGGGAGCGCGAAGGGGAGATACCCACCACAAGCAAGGCGGGCAGCTCGGCCACTCTGGGCCTCCACAGCGAAGCCACAACGCCGAGCCAGAAGAAACCGGAAATTCCGGTGCGCTCAACCATGTGACCTTGCAAAGCGCACCCAGTCATCCCGGGGCACGCGCGCAGCGGCCTATACGGCTAACCATAGACTTAAGGCGGATAGAGCGGTTCCCAGATAGCTTCGGAAGCCATCTTTGGGGGTCTCTCCAAGAGGCGGAAGTGGGAGCTGCCCAAAGAAAACAATGGAGAAATCCAAGATTTTAAGCGTCGCTGGGGTTGGGCTGTGTGTGGCAGCCAAATTTTTTAAAAAAGCAAGCTTTCTTGCGGAATTTTCTTTTTATTTTCTTTTTTTGGTCGAGTGCTTTCAAACTTTAAAGCCCCACGGGTTTGCAGTCAAGTCAATGAAGCATACGTTTTCTTATATGCAGTAGGATGCTGGGTGGGGCTTATTAACGTAGGTAGCCCTTTGTTGCAAGAAAGCTGCTAGAGCAACGTCAGCCTGTCTTTCACTGAAAATATTAGTAGGGAGCTGTACTAAAACTGGTATAAGTTGCACGCTCTTCAATTTGGAAACAATGCACTGGCATGGGAACCGCTTTAAAGGTTTTTCTTACAGTCAGTGGTATATAAATTTCATCAACAAAAAGAAATGAACTTTTAACTGTCTTAAAACATAATAATAATAATAATAATAATAATAATAATAATAATAATAGCTCTGAGTTAGAAAAGGCGTGATTTGCTGTCGGGTGCTGGAGGTAGAGAAAGTGCTGCTGCTGCTACCAAAGCACAGCTAAGCCAAAATCCTGGATTTCTTTATTCTATACTCCAATTTCGTTATCTGCGTGCTGCTACCAGACAGCAGCCACGTACAAGAGGGAACTCGGAGTAATTCCCTGGGGGAAATAAGAAGTCAACCTAGTGAGGACTGAGCATCAGTAGCTGCAGGACGCTGATCGATTGTTACAGGGGTGGGGAAATGCAATGGAGTTTCGTGGACGAAGGCTGGGTTGAACCGCGAACAAGATCACTCTGAACTAGCATATGGTGAAGAGCAAGTAAATGTAAATCCATAAATTAATAAACATTTTGTTGCAGGTCCGGTCCCACTTGTTTTGTGTGGACAGCTCTCACTTATGCCCCATGGAATAAGAAAAAGATAGCTACATAAGGACTCGGGGAATCAATCATCAGACAACTGAATTGCAATTCTAATATTTGTATTTTTATAATGCTCCTATACGCCCTAAATGCTCTGCTTAGAAAGAGGAAATAAAGAAAAAGAACTCACTTGCTCAATGCGGAGGGGTGTATGTCTTATAACTACATTTCCCAGGATGCTCCGCAACCCACTTCCTCCTTTTCTCTAGCGTCGCTGTGTAATGCTGGGACTTGCAGCTTTATATTCATGGTTTGAGCCTGTAAGAACGATGCAGGCAACGACAAGATTTGTGCTGTTGATGAAGTTGGTCAGTACTGCGGTTGTATAAACATTCCAGTCGTATAGAAGAAGGGCTGAAGCAGATTTATTTTGAAGAATAGCAGAATTTTATGTGAAGCTCTCTGAGAAAGTTATCATAACATATCGAAGTTTGGGCGGGCATTCTACACATGATCTGAAACACTTTTGTTGTTATTCCACGTGTTGTTTGGACAAGGTTTCTCATTGAATACGTTTGGAGGCTGACCTCAAGACTCGTCTTTCACCTTTTATTTTTTCAATAAAATTGATAAACAAAGGCATGCTTAATGAAGTTGCAGTCAGTATTTGGTTCTTTAATTGTTGCAGTGCTACCTTACATTTTATATAATTTATTTGTTTAAGTACCTTGGAAGAAGGGCGTGGAGAGTAACAAAATAACACTTGTGGAGGGTTTGTGTATTAGTCACACACTATCATGACTTGGAGATGGGTCTGGGTTGTGCAAGTAAGCATAGCAGAATGAAGTTAGGTTTGCAAACCAGAAGGGAAGGCGGCACTAAGACACAGGAAGTGGAGGAGGCCTTCAGCCTCATCAAGCATTGGGCAGGAGAAGGCCCAGTAAACCTGTCCCTGTCCTTTGGTTTCATTGTGCTGATGGAGGCTTGAATGTGTAGTTGTGGGGTGGAATGCACACACATCCCCCCAGAAACCAGTAGGCCAAGCCCTGCCCTTTCATCACAGAGGTGATGGAAATGGCTATAACAGTAGAACTAGGTTTCCTTTTCCCTCCACTTTAGGCTCCTCAATAAGCATTTCACACCTTACCTGTCTCTCTTGAAAGGCATACACCTAGTCTTCCTTAAATGCAGGTTTGACAAGACATTAATATTCTCAATGCAATTAACTATTCTGAACTATTTTGTCAAGCAGAGGTAAGGAAGCATTGTCACCAGTTTCCAAGTTCTAGAATGAGATACTAGTGGCATGTTCATAAAATGTTACGTTCATTCTTTTAAACCACTTAATGGCAGCAGACCTCCAAATGCCAGTTTCTGGGAGAGAAACAGAGAGAGACAGACCTATTCTATTGCCTGTTTTTGTGCTTCCCAGGGGCATCTAGTTGGCCACTGTCGGGAAAGGGATTCTAAACTAAATGGGCCTTTGGTCTGATCCTTAAGTTCTTAAGCATTTTCACACCAGATGTTGCAATTCTGCATCTTCAATTGATAGAATCTTGCCTACCTCCACCAGTTTTTCTGCACCAGTCCTAAAGTGCCTAATTACTGTGATTTCCAAAATAGTGCTTTAAGGACAAACACAATAGGTTTGGGGGGGGCGGGGATCCTTCAAGAGCAACATGCTACTCCTTCAAGAGCTTTGTACCTGTGGAGGTTATTTCACAGATCATAATTTGGAACTGGTGCAAGGAAATAGCTATGACTGCCATTCCACACATACTTGGGGGTAAGTCCCATTGTATTGGATGTGGTTTACCTCTGTATAAACCTGCAACAGATTGAACTGAAAAGTTGTGTGAACTGTGATTATGGAAGTTGTAAGGACTACCAAGGTTGAGTTAACTGAGCTAAATTTATTTATTTATTGCATTTATATCACACCTTTCCCCCCAAGGAGCTTAAGATGCTATACATGGTTCTTCTCATTTAATCACAACAGCCCTGTGAGGTAGGTTAGGCTGAGAGTCAGTGACTGGCCCAAGGTCGGCCAGTGAACGTCATGACTGAGTGGAGTTTTGAACCATGGTCTTCCAGGTCCTTGTCCAGAACTCAAACCACTACAGTACACTGGCTGAATGTGAACATTCTGATTTACAGATCTTAATGCATACAGCTCAAAGCCCTTCAACTTATTTTTGTAGCAGACTCGATCATACATGCTTCTCTAGGAGTAAATCTGAATGAACACAGGAGAATTCAGTTCTAAGTAATGTGGCAGCATGGCTGTAATCACAAACATATTTATTTGGGAATAAAACCCAGCGAAAAAACATGCCACATGTTTGTTACGGCTTTTCTTCCTCCTTAACATTTAAAAATGTGATGTGACTTAATAAAAACATTACAACAGAACATTTTACAGGATTTAATAGTTTGAAACAGGACTTCCTCTCCATTTCCCCATCTTCATCATGAGATTAATAGTGTCAGCTGACCTTACGAGGCTGTCATAAGGATTCAAGATAGAATGCATGTAGAGTGCTTTGAACTAAGTGATACTTAAATCACTCCTATTTTTATCACCAAACACAGACACCAAGGTTTCCTATGTTGAGAGAAAGCTTAAATCTTCACAGATTTTCACATCTAGGCAGATGTGCGTCAACCAGAAGTCTCTTCCATTTTCTGTGGAGATTATATTTTGTCCACTGAAACACTGTAACTGCAGAGTTTGGAACTACATTCCCCAAGATGCACTGGGACTTGTGGCCCAGAAAGTGACCTTTGAAAGGAAAAGTAGGTAGTGCACTGTACCTTCCTAGCTATAGCTGGCGAGGGCAGACTCAGCTGGCTAGACTGGGAAGCATGCCTGTGACTGTGTAGCATCAGAGTCTCCAGAGGAGATAGCAGCATGCAGAACCCCCTCTCCTCTTCCCCTGGAGGCTCACGCTCTTCCCTTTCTGCTTAGACATCACCGGCAAGGCAGCTGCAGAAGCAGACACTCACTGGCGCTTTCCACTCCTCCGCAGGCTGTTCCTGTCAAAGCTGTAAGTATCCTTTGTGTGCTGCTAGACCAAACAGGAAGGCACATACAGGGGCTGGGCCTGTGGATTTCTTTCTTCAGCCTTGCATATATTCCACGTTATTTGAGCAACATAAATGGCCCGCTGTGGAATCGGGGAAACTGAAATTCTTCCAAACTGGATTTTGTACAAATCCGTCTGCTGTACTACCAAAGCCAACGACGATAAGGTTCCTCAGGAAACCAGAAGCAAAGGAACCAGAGTGGTTTGGGATCACACTGTGCTCCCTAGGAGATTCTTCTCCGACAGAGAGAGACAGCCCAGGAGGAAATGTAGCAAAAGTAAAAGTCAGGGACATTTCCTGAGAAGGGCTGGCTATGTCCCCACTACTTAAATTGTGTGCTGGTGCTCTCAGTGTGGCTTAGATGGCAATTAACTCTACCAAGTAGCAGCAGATCAAACCTGTGGCCCTGTGTGCCTCCTCATCCTAGAGCCAAAGGCTGTAATACTGATATCAAAATGCCTATGTTACGCTTTACAGCTGCAAAAGCACTTTATAACCATTATCATGCTGATACCTTTTATTGTTATAAATGGCCATTATTGTCATTGTATAGGGAAACGACTGAGCCTGAAAGAAGAGTAGCTTGTCCAAGTCCACACACTCAGTCTGTACTCTGTAGCAGTGTGAGAAACTCCGATATATATGCCCAGCACCAAACGGCTCCTTAAACCAGGGTTACAGTTGCCAAAACGGAATGCCTAGTTGCCATTTTGGGGCCAGGCGGCTCAAAAGTCGTATTTTTCAATACAGTGGTACCTCGGGTTAAGTACTTAATTTGTTCTGGAGGACCGTTCTTAACCTGAAACTGTTCTTAACCTGAAGCACCATTTTAGCTAATAGGGCCTCCTGCTGCCGCTGTACCGCCGGAGCACAATTTCTGTTCTCATCCTAAAGCAAAGTTCTTAACCCAAGGTACTATTTCTGGGTTAGCGGAGTCTGTAACCTGAAGCGTATGTAACCCGAGGTACCACTGTACGGCTTTTTGGTTCCTGTAATTCATTCTGATTGTGCAGATAAAATATCCTGGATCGAATTCTACAGGATGTGTTGCCAGTGTGTGAAAACAAACCAGGTCCAAGGATCCCCAGGCATGCACCTCCAGATGGTGGAGACATCAGGTGCCATCCTGGCCCCTGGGCATCTTCACTTGATCGCAAGTGACCGATAGCCAGGTGCAAAATGCACCTGGCAAATTTCGAACGCTGCTCTGTAGCAATGGTAAGAACATAACTCAGGTCTCCCAGGTCTTTGTGGGTGTATGGCAGCTCACCCAGGAGAAAGTAAAGCCAGTGTTGTGTAGTTGGAGTGTCAGACTAGAGCCAGGGAGGTCCAGTTTAAACCACAAACTCACTGGGTTTGTGAGTTTAGTCACAGTCAACCACAAACTCACTGGGTGACCTTGGGCCAGTCACTATCTCTCAGCTTAACCAACCTCCCAGGGTTGTGATGAGGATTAAAGAGGAGAGAATATCATGTGTGTTGCACTGAGAACCTTGGGAGGCAAAATGGAATAAAATTGGGTGTGTGTCTTAGCTTGCCCATGTTGATAACAAAATCTGGATGGATGGGCAGGTTCTCACCACCACCCCAAGTCTGGCCTGTTGGGGACCATTTACTTTGTGCTACATAAGACAGTGAGTTTCTTTTATGTAAAGAAAAAAAGTTTGATGCAACTGGGGATACAATTTGGGGTGACCCAAGTGTCTTGGAATAGAGACAGGGATTGTTTCCTCTCATCTCTGTCCTGTTGAAATAAACATTTTGGTAATTTCTAAATAAGGAGTTAGTTGGCCTGATAAAATGTTAGGGCTTGATTAATTACAGTTTATAGAATCTCAAACTTGCAAGCTCTTCAAGGTTGTTAAGGAATAATCATAAGCTACAATTATCTTAATTAGTGGTCTCCTGAAGATACTTCAGCTCATCGGTAAATTTTATTGTTTGGTTGTATGTTTTTATATTGTTGTAAATTGCTGTAATCTTTATGTGTATCAGTGGTATATAAATATTTTTATAAATAAATAAATTAAGCTGCAGGCCATCCAGAACCACCCTCTGAAGGGTGTATCATGGGACCTAATTGCAGAATGTAGGTAAAACACACCTAGGGACATTGGAGGAATTCCTAGCTCCTGGTATCTCTTCACTATGCTTCTCGCACATCACCCAGAGTTATTGTATGGAATAATACTTCCTCTCTAAAAAGAGACAAACATCTGTCATATGATTTATCTGATAGACCAGAGGGGAATCTCTGACCTCTAGATGATGTTGAACTCCAGCTCCCAACAGCCATCGCTAGCATGGTTAATAGCCATGGTTGATGGGAGACCCTGGTTCTGCTTTTTCTTTTCTTTTTTTTGTAAGAATGGAGTTCTCTTGTCTAATATAGAAATAGGGAACCAGATGTTGCTAACCTATGTGTTGTTCCCTATTCCTGGGTTAAACCACAAAAGCCCAATTTCTAACAAAAAATGCAGAACCTGTGACTTTCCCACCGTACTAATACATGCAGATTAAGTATGTACTGTATTCTGAACCAAACACCTATTAAATAGTTGCTCTTTTCATTTGCTGAATTTTGTGCTGCTCTGTTTTGCCAATAATTTTTTTAATGTAGCTATTTGTTTTTAATATATATTGTGTATATTACCGTATTTTTTGCTCTATAAGACTCACTTTTTCCCTCCTAAGAAGTAAGGGGAAATGTGTGTGCGTCTTATGGAGCGAATGCAGGCTGTGCAGCTATCCCAGAAGCCAGAACAGCAAGAAGAATTGCTGCTTTCACTGCGCAGCGATCCCTCTTGCTGTTCTGGCTTCTGAGATTCAGAATAGTTTTCTTCTTGTTTTCCTCCTCCAGAAACTACCATATTTTTTGCACCATAACACTCACTTTTTTCCTCCTAGAAAGTAAGGGGAAATGTCTGTGCGTGTTATGGAGCAAATGTGTACGGGTGGCGGGGGGGATCTGCTGCAGTTGTGAGCAGAGGATCCATGGTTCCCCTTCCTTCCCTCCTCCGTGGCTCGCTTTGAAACAGCAAAGCGGGAGAAGAGCCGCTGAGTGGGGAGGAGAGAGGGACAGAGAGCCTGCTTGCTTTAAAGGAGCAAAGCGGGAGAGGAGAAGCCGCTTACACGAGTGTAAGCGGCTCCTGTCCGGTTGGCTCCTTTAAAGCAAGCAGGCTCTCTGTCCCTCTCTCCTCCCCACTCAGCTCGCTAAATAGCATTATTAGCACCATCCTTCTCCACACACCCCATGCGTGCTCCTTGTCCCTTGAGTGCTTTTCCTTCCCTCCTCACTTAAAACGTGGTTACAAAGCATGGATCCACATGGATCCTCAGGATTTTTGCATTGGGCTACTCCAAACTCACTGTCAATCACATGTCTGTGGCCACAGCATGAACCACAAAAAATCATACATCCACTGTTTTGTTTAGATATTTTTTTCTGTCCCTAAACTACTTATTGTGTATAGATGGTTTGTATTGTTTTAAAATATCATTATTTTATTTTCTTTCTCTGCATGTCATTTAATAATTAAACCTTGATGAGATTTTAGTAAATTCATGCCTTAAATTTTCATTGTATTTACTCAAATTCTTTAATATGTTATCTTTCATCAAAGCCCTATTAGTATTTAAGCTAGTTGTATTTTGGTTTTGTTGTTTAGCAGTGTTTCCTCGGGCAAGCATCACTTCAAAGCGTACAGCTGGCTATGCGCCATTGGTTGCAGACCTAGAATTCCTTGAAACAGCATGCAGTCCAAACCTTTGGCATGTTTATTCAGAAGTAAATTCTACTGAAATCGCTGGGTCTTACTTCCAAATATATGCATAGGATTGCACAAATTTGTGCTGAAAATTTACATTGCTGCACAAGGGGAAAAAGCAAACCAGTCGCAAAAGCAGGTGGGGTAAAGGCTCAAGTCAGTTAACCATTGTTCCAGGAAGATGGATGAGAGAGCAGGAGAAAGGGACAAGATGGTAAGGAAACAGACCAGCTTAACTCATACCAACAGTCAAGTACAAAGTTAGTTCTGGATTTCCATTTCTACCTGTTTTTTAATCTTGTTTAGTGGGAGTTTTCCCCCTCTTTTAAAAGCAATGCAGTTGAAATTAAATTCAGTTCAGCACTGATCTATAATAACTTTATTTATTTTATTAACCATTGCAGATCCTGTGCACCTTGACTCAGAAATAATTTCCACTGTGTTCATTGGGATGAACACCCAGAAAAAGTGTGTCAGATGGTAGCATGAGTTCATTCAAGCTGTAATCCTATAATAATAATAATTTATTATTTATACCCCGTCCATCTGGCTGGGTTTCCCCAGCCAATCCTATACTTGCTTACCTAGGAGTAAGAACCATTGAACTCTGTATCACTTATCTCAGAGTACATAGGTTTAGGTTGCACTGTAACAAGTTAGCTCAGCACATTCCAAAGTCTTGTGGTAGATGACAGAGATTAAAAATAAATAACTATAAAGGACGTATGTTAAAATAAAATAAATACCCTGTTGCCAACCAATTTAACATAAACACTCATATTCATACATGGCACTTTTTTTTACATCATCAGGAGGTGAAAATTCCCCAGTGTGTAGAATTCTTCAACATGCTATGGATAGCAAGGTATCAGGGATGGAACGAAAAAGGGTGTTCAGTGCTACGAGCTCTTACCATTTAATTTATTTCATTATGTGTCTAGATGTTTCAAGACTAAAAGCATGCAGCTTGTAACCAATTCCGCTTTAATTGAAATAATCAGAATGTCTTTCCCATCCTGTATGTTCCGTCAAAAGTTTGAAAATATGGAAGTCGTGTGCTTTAATAGCTGTGAAACCTAAAGGCAAATGAAAGAACCCACTTTCATTTGCTTTTGAGTCTTTTTGTGATTTGTCCACCTAATCTCATAAGGATTTGACTGCTCCGTTATCATTTGATTTAACAACCACAGGCAAACACCGATGGGACATGGTTGACATTTAACCAATCAATATGAAAAAGACACATTTTTATTGAGCCGGTGTTAACATGAGGAGTCTCTTGCAGAAGCAGACTGTTCATCAGTGAGGAGAGAGATATCGCTGAGTACGTTACCAAACCTTCCTGCGCTTCACGGTTTCAAATAAAAACATTATTCTGTACATATGATACTTTAATTGTCCTGTGAATAAGGACCACTGCCCCTGCTTCCTGTTTGATTGTTACACATTGCAGGAAAAGACTGACCATTTTACTGCGGGATCAACAGCCATCCCTACCAAACACTTGAATCATGTGGTGTTAGTGCCGTTGCTGTTGAAACATCTGTCCCCATTGCTTGCTGGCCAGAGCCATACTTCCAGGTCTTGAGAGCATTGTTGAGTTCAAATATTTGCTTAGCCATGGATTCAGAGGGTGGTTTTTGGGCAAGCCGCTGTATCTTAGCCTCCCTTCTCCATTTGTAAAGTGAAAATAATAGTAACTTTTCTCATAGGGAGGTGTTGAGAAGAAACAAACGCTGCACTACACAGTTAGAAAATGCTCACTCTGTGTGGGATAACTATGGCGTAATTAAACCCAAGCATTTCCAGGCTGACTTCCTGCTTCCTATAAATCCGATTCTATGGAGGTGCTCCAATGTACTTGTTTTGTCACTCAGGTTAGGTAACTGCATAAGATCTGCACTGCTTTGGGGAATAAAAGCTAGCAGGTCTTTTTTGTTTGCTTGTTTGCAGGTCCCCACAAGCTTCCAAGGGATGGCTGCTGATGTTCACAAGAAGGATGGAGATGTGCCCAATGGCTCATTGGTCCCATGCGACAGAAAGCAGGCTGAGAGGTCAGAGAGTCCTACCCCAGGTCTCACGCAGGGAACAGAACCAGGTAGGTGTGGGCAGAACAATTCAGAGGGGGCTGGGGAGGGCGAAGCAAAGGAAGAGGGACCACCCAATCCAAAGCTTTGCCAGGCAGGTGGGGCTGTTCTCTGTCCCACTCCCCTTTATTTGGGGCCAGTGTTTTAGCGCTTTCCCCTCCCACGACACCTGTTTTTGTCAGTTCCACAGTTGGCACGCTTACAGCGGAGTGGCAATGCAAAAGGGTGCTGTGTTTAATCTACAATTTTCTTTGTGCACCGCTTATACTGTGTTCCCCCTGCTATTTCCTATGCACTCATTGCCTTTTCAGTACTGGGTTTTTAATCTGTGTTCACATGAAATCATCCAAATGCATGTTATCCTGTACTTGGTTATAAAATACTACTCTTCGATGCATTGTTCCAAGCTTCACACCTCTTGCGAATACCTATTCCGCTCCCTGGTGTGAACAGAAACAAATTGACACTAAGGAAGCTGTGCTGATGTGAACAGCTAGGGAGGCAAGAGGTGTGAAATGCACCAGGGGGAAAATCAACATCACTATGCTCTAATCTAAGGGATGGGTAGGCAAACTAAGACCTGGGGGCTGGATCCGGCCCAATCGCCTTCTAAATCCGGCCTGCAGATGGTCTGGGAATCAGCGTGTTTTTACATGAGTAGAATGTGTCCTTTTATTTAAAATGTACATCTGGGATATTTGTGGGGCATAGGAATTCGTTCATTTCCCCCCACCCCAGAAAAAAATAGTCTGCCCCCCCACAAGGTCTGAGGGACAGTGGACCGGCCCACGGCTGAAAAGGTTTGCTGACCCCTGTAGTCTAAGGGGGTAATGGGAACACACCCTTAGAGACCTCTTTGATTAAGTGGTTTATAAGTCTCCTACTTTTTAAGCTGAGCCGGAATTTGGTTTAAAATTGGAAATTCGTATTCAAATCTATTTTCAATCAAGTATACATCATATACACAAAAACATTTTTTTCTGTGATTTGGGCTCTTCACTGCCTGCTGATCTCTCCACCCCACTTCCCAAAATTGTTATGAACTTATAGTCAGGCACCATTATCTGATCAACTCTGTGGACTGACCAAAAAAAAATCTCCAGCCAACAGCGCTCATCTGAGGCTGGCATAAACACAGACTGGGTCATAATGACAAAACCAGAAGCTGTTGACCTGTTCCTTAGGGCTAGGCAGCATTTCCTGACCGCCCACACCTTATGCCAGCAATAATAAATGTCATATTCCCTTGATCAAAACAAGGAGAGGACACAAAACAGAGCTAACTAAATTCTGCACTGCTGGAAAGCAAGAGGTAATCCAGAACAGTTGTTGTCATTCGTCTGTCTCGAGAGAAGAGGCACCACTGGGGGTAAAGTGAAACCGTTGTTGAGTTACAGTGCCTACAGTGACTGTGGAGACCGATATGGGAGAGACATGTTTTGTTGCAGCTGGGACAGATGAAAGCATCTGGTTTTGCTGTTACAGATGCACCAAGGTGTTTCTTCTGTCTGCACAGAACAAGGATATAGACCAATAGACCTGTTGCAGGTTCAACATGGCTGTATGGTGAGAATAAACCTGTCTGAGGTCAGCTTTGTAATCAACAAGTAGCCAATCCCAAACATGCTTACTTCGTAATGTAAATTCCACTTATTGATGGGACTTACTCCAAGAAAGTGCTCCTAGGAGTACATCTTTAACCTGCATGTACTGTTCAGTTGCTTGTGGAGAATTGTTTTCTCATTTCTTTCTTTGCAAAACTCCTACAAAAGGCTCAGTGAAGCAGTTCCTTTGTGATAGATAGTGAATGTACCTAAAGAATGCACATGCTCTGCTTTAGTATGGAAGATAATGAATATCAGATACTTAGATGGGAGTCAAAGGGTTTCGGGTACAAGGACCTCAATTTCCTGCTATCCCGCAGTGCAGTTACCACATCAAAATGTTAAAATGAAAGGCCCTGTGTGTTCTAAAGAAAGCTATAGAATTGGAGTGCTTTCTAAGGAGGAGCATTCATTATGGATTAGGAAGCCTGCATGCTATTTAACCAAAGGATATTTCCTTACAGCATGGCACAACCATTGCAATCTGCGGTTTTCAGCTTGTAACCCACTAGATGAGGAGCACAGGAACAAAAACTTTGGCATAAGGTAAAAATGTTGGGAGATTTTTGCCATCGTATGTGTCTTGTGGGCATTTATGAGTTTTCCTACTCACTCTTTGATGATGCCATTGTTGTAGCTTTTTATCTGCTCCTTCCAGGAAGTAACTCAGTATTTGTTCTGGCATGTTGTTTACAAGGGGCAGGCCAGGAGGGAGCCATGTTTGTTCATGCCAAGTCCTATGAAGACCTGACCAGCACCGAGAATCAGGATGCGACTCCCCAGAGCCTGGAGGAAAGCGAAGAGCGCCAAGGTGAGCAGGCAAAGATGGAGGAGATCAGCAAGGACTTCAGCGAACTGAGCACCCAGCTCACTGGCATAGCCCTGGATTTGGAGGAAGAGATAAGGCACAGCAAAGAAGACAAGTTGGAGCTCTCGCCGCAGGCCTCGCGCCGAGACTCTGTGCTGTCTGGGAAGGAGGAAGAAGATGTGACCATGGATGCCTGGCGCATGCACCAGAAGCATGTCTTTGTTCTGAGTGAGGCAGGCAAGCCGGTGTATTCCCGCTATGGGTCTGAAGAGGCACTGTCCAGCACCATGGGTGTGATGATGGCTCTGGTGTCCTTCCTTGAAGCACAGAAGAATTCCATCAGGTCTATTCATGCAGGTACTTAGGAGTCACACTGACAGGGTTTCTTCCCAAGAGACCGCTATCTTACCATTTTGAAAAGAACCTGAGAAACAGGAGCAAGGAGTGTGAATGATCCTTCCCCAGGATAGCCCCCTGCCAGAGTGGCATGGGGACATGTTTTTATTATGCTCCTTTCTAACCCAGCAGCTTTAGGAAATATGAGATGTCATCGAATATCCGATTGCCAGTCCCAACTTGTACACAGAATAATCAGAAGAGAACAATATGCCGTTTTCACATTCCGTTTAGAAAATGCTTCAAAACTAAGCCAGAGAAGGAAGCTATAGATTTATTTGAAAGGCAAGTCTCAAGCCAAAGTGTAGTAAAAATGATTATCTAAATCAATGTTTGGTCAAGAGAGCCTTTCCATACTGCTAGCTATGGATGTTGATAACCATGTTGACAGTGCTGCAGTCTCTGGGATGGGGAATCTACATGTAGATGCCAGTCAAAGGCAATATTCTATAAGTAAAGGTAAAGGGACCCCTGACCATTAGCTCCAGTTGCGGACGACTCTGGGGTTGCGCCGCTCATCTCGCTTTACTGGCCAGCGTTTGTCCACAGACAGCTTCCGGGTCATGTGGCCAGCATGGCTAAGCCGCTTCTGGTGAACCAGAGCAGCACACAGAAACGCTGTTTACCTTCCTGCTGGAGCGCTACCTATTTATCTACTTGCATTTGACGTGCTCTCGGACTGCTAGGTTGGCAGGAACAGGTACTGAGCAACGAGAGCTCACCCTGTCGCAGGGATTCAAACCGCCGACCTTCTGATCGGCAAGTCCTAGGCTCAGTGGTTTAGACCACAGTGCCACCCGCGTCCCTATTCTATAAGTATGCGTCCTTAAATCCTGACAATCACTGCCCTAACCATTAGCAATTACCTTAGATGCTCTCCCTGCCTTCTTTTATTGTTTTCTTACCCCTAATTCTCATTGAGCAGGGAAACTCAAGCTTGGACCATATCATTTTAAATTGCTGATGGGGATCACAAAAAATCCATGCATGTTAAATACACATGCACATGTGTGCGCGCGCGCGCACACACACACACACACACACACACACATACCAGGGAGAAGGCTAGGTTAGAACCCTTCTCCATGACGTCTAGGGTTTTTCTTTTATGTATAGGAACTTTTTTTAGTAGAGTAGCTGTCAGTCACACGAACCCTCACCTGCAATCTGAAGTAGTAGAGCTCAGATGCAAATTGACCAACCTGGTGAGAAGTAGATATTTAAGAACGGGAAGTCACTCTATGAAGTTAAAATATGATCCCCTGGTAAAGATGGTTTCCTTATGCCATAGCAAGGCAACCTTGCTAACTGCATACACGATAGAGTTCTGTATTTCCTATTCTTTGTTAGGTTTTAAACACTGGGTTTCCAGGAGAGTGTAGGCTTTTTATCACACTGTTTCAAGGAAATTTGCTTTTTAAGGAAATTGATTTTCTTCCCTCCATCTATAATAAGGTTAGGGAACTAAGTCTGGCCAATGGGCTGGAGTCTTCCTTGCCCCACTTGACATGGGCCAACTTTGATAGGCGGGTGGGACTTCTCACCTGTCAATCATCTGACATCATTATGGCATCAGGTGACAACTTGAAAGGGGCTTGCTGCAGACTGTGGGATAGGTGGGAGTGGCTTGTGGAAAACAGACTCCAAGACCAAATTAGGACCCCTGCCAAGCCTAGTTAGGCCTGCAGGCCAGAGATTCCCCCACAAGTGATCTATGGATTCAGAGAAGTTGCCTCAAAAGAACCATAGCTCCTTTGTGTTCAGGACTTCCCACTGTGTTCTAAAGAAACTGATGTGCTTCTTCTCGCTTTCTCCCTCCCCATCCTTGCCTTCTTGGCAGATGGGTACAAGGTGGTGTTTGTGCGCAGGAGCCCCCTGGTGCTGGTTGCTGTGGCTCAGACACGGCAGTCAGAACAAGAAATTGCTCAGGAGCTTCTTTATATCTACTACCAGATCCTTAGTCTCTTGACGTGGACCCAGCTCAGCCGTATCTTCCAGCAGAAGCAGAACTATGACCTGAGGAGACTGCTGGCAGGCTCCGAGCGCATCACGGACAACTTGCTAGACCTGATGGCGAGGGACCCGAGCTTTCTGATGGGGGCTGCACGTTGCCTCCCTATGGCTGCTGGAGTCAGGGATGCCGTGAGCTCCTGCCTCCAGCAAGCCAAAGCTAAAAGCCTGGTCTTCTCCATCCTCTTATCCAAGAACCAGCTGGTATCTCTGGTGAGAAAAAAGGACCAGTTCCTGCATCCGATTGACCTTCACCTACTCTTCAACCTCATCAGTTCATCCTCCTCATTTAGAGAAGGAGAAGCCTGGACTCCCATCTGCCTGCCCAAATTCAACTCCAGCGGTTTCTTCCATGCTCACATTTCCTACTTGGCGCAGGATACAGACTTATGTCTCCTTCTGATCTCCACTGACCGTGAGGACTTCTTCACAGCGTCTGACTGCAAGCGCAGGTTCCAGGAACGGCTGAAGAAGCGCGGTGTTTATCATGCCCTCGTGGAGGCACTGTGCACTCCTTTCTACACTGTCTCCCAGGTGGGAATCCCAGACCTCCGACACTTCATCTACAAATCGAAGAGCTCAGGACTCTTCACCAGGTGAGAATCTGTTCTGGGCCGCATCTTTCTTTCAGCTCATAAATATTATCTGATGCTTTGCTAAGTGGCAAGTGTAGGTGGGATTTATCTATTTATTTAAAAGCATTTCTAAATGACTTAAGTGTTAAAAGATATCTAAGTGATATATGAAATGCAACACAGAAACAATAGGACAAAATCGTAAAAACAGAGTTGTAGGCAATGTTAGTCGTTCACAGAGTGGACCCATTGAAATTAATGGACAGAGTAACTCTGAGTAAAAGTTGCTTGGATGCAACCCAGAGACACAGAATAAAAAAACCCCAGTATTATAAAAATAGGAATTCAGTACAGGGCCCAATTTTATGGGTCAGGGAAAGTGCCTATTTTGTATTGTTTCTTGCTTTAAATATACTTTCTGTTTGGGAGGGTTTGCTGGTTTTGTGCCTTAAAGATGATTTTGTAGAAGGCAATCAAAAAAATTAATGATGATAATAAAATAATAATAATAATAATAATAATAATAATAATAATAATAATATTCAAGGGCAGGTGGTCTTTCAGGTAACCTTGTTCTGACTGGTCTACCCTTCTCTGTGGCACAATAGTCAATACCAGTCAGGATGGCCTCCATGTTTAGCTTTGGGGCGCCAAGCTACTATAGAGCTCATAGGATGCATAACATATCGCTGCGACGCTGCATGGCCCACTGGTTTTACCTCTAGAATCAAAAGTGAGTCCAGACTTTGAACTGCAAGAATTCTGTTTCAGTGACAGCTCATCTGATAACCAGGAATGCATTTAGCTAGTTCCTTAGCTCTGCCTTCTGCCCCAGATCTTTTTCTTTCTGAACTTGTTTCTGAATTTCTGAATAGTTTTCCTTTTGTCCTATGAAAAGAAGCTATTCTGCTGTAGTCCATTTTCATTTCCATTCATGACGAGAGGTGGAAATTTCTTTTTCCAGCCCAGAGATTGATGCTCCCTACATCACTGAGGAGGAAAAAGAGAGACTTCTGGGATTGTATCAGTACTTACACAGCCGGGCCCATAATTCTTCCCGTCCTCTGAGCTACATCTATTACACTGGATCTAATGAAAATCTCCTGGCTTGGGTAAGTTACACCTCAGCGGCAGTTGCTAGAAAAATCACAGTAAAAGCAAAACCTGGGGCTGTAACTGGATGTACTAGCTTATTATCTGGGTTCATCAATTTAGAATTACAAGATCAGAAATGGATGCTAGCTTGTATTGCAACAAATGCTTTGTTTTTTGTACATTTGCTCTTTGCGGGTGTGTCCTCTGGGTACATTTCCCAATGTCCATTAACTTAATCTTTAAAAATTGCATGGTAAGTGTGATGGTTAAAAGAGCATGCAAGGTTTAAAGCAGCAAATAATTCTTCATCAGATTTCTTCTCATTTCTTCTTATTAACATCCTCTCTCACCAACAACATCTGAACCAGTGAAAAATACCAAAACCTCAATCTTGGCAACCACCACGGCAACAATTCTTCTTCTAGAGGAGTGGACTTGCACTGTTGGCATGTTGTAACAGAGCTTTAACATTTCCTTTCTTCAGGTAACTAGTGCCTTTGAGCTCTACGTATGCTTCAGCCCCCTGGGAACCAAAGCAGCAGCTGTCAGCGCTGTCAACAAACTTATGAGGTGGATCCGCAAGGAAGAAGACCGGCTCTTTATATTAACACCCCAGACTTACTGACTGCTGCGGCCTGTGTCGTCTGCCCGGGGTTCCTCAGTGCCGGTGAATGCCCGAAGGGACGTCTTCTTGTCTCTGGGGAGACTAGACCCTCTCTCAGAGATTCCCTCCCCAACCAGAAATGGGAGGAGGAGAAAAGGTGGGTCTGAGGAGAACAGAGTTTTGTGCCTACAGGGAGCATCTGGGAAGGAGACTTGCATTTCAGTTTGTACTACATTTTAAACATTAACCCTGCTGCGTCTGGAACTGAAACATGGATCCTCCTGGCCTTCATCCATGTGATTGCTACCCAAGATGCTCTTCATCCCAAACACAGAATGTAATTTCTGCCACTTTTTTTTTTTTTTAGATTGTCTTAAACCAAATCTTGTCCACATCTCCAGAGTGTGTTTTCCCCTCCTCTCCTAACAAGCTTCTGTTGGGAGAAGTTCTGGCAATTGTTGTCCTGTATGCAAGCCAATGCATCAAGGAGTCCAGTGTACTTCATTGCCCATGGCTTCCCTAATCTTTAATGACTTCCCAAATGTCCTCTGTGTCCAACCTGTGCCAGGCTGCCTTGCACCTCAAGCAGTGGGTCATCACTGGGGAGCAGAGAGAGCATTTTATGAACAGTCTAGCTCCCTGCTGCACAGTTCCCCTTGGAACTGGCTTAGGTCACTGATTCCTTCTAGTTTTTATGCAAGTTCGTAGTTTGCAAAGCTCTGATGTATCTACATCTCTGCTATTATACTCCACATGCTGCCCACACAGACAGGGGTGTAGGAAGGGGGGGCAGTGGGGGTGGACTACCCCAGGTGTCATCCCGGGGGGGGGGTGTGTGACAAAATCCTCCCAGGGTGGATCGCCACCGCGCCGATCACCCCCTCGGGCAGATCGCACCGCCCCCAGATCCATGGCATGTGCGCCGCTCTGGATGCCCGATAGACTTTTCTTTATTAGATTACTCATAATTTCAACCACAAAGGAAGGCTGCAGGTTCAAGGATAGGTGTGGATAATGCAAGACTCTTTTAATTGTTTAACAATTGTTTAGACTGATCACTTTCAGACTGAGGACATACCAGAAAAAATCAAAAGCTCAGATTTTATCCATCCCAAGGACAATGATTTACACTGTTAGATGACAAAAAGGCAAAGGTGTTTTCCACATCAAGCTTAAACCACCTTTTTCTTACATCTGTCTGCAATTATATTTTGCATTCTATCCTTTCGTTAATAACATTTCTACAAAGTGCAAATAGGAAGAAGAGAAAAGACAGAGATGCTTTTTTGGCCTCGTGTTATAGGAATGCTCGGAGGCGATGCAGTCTACTCAGGAGGCAGACTTGCAAATTTCACGGGCGACAAAGGAGCTAAGTTCTACTCCCCATGCCCAACCCATCTGTGATGTAACAGGAGATTATTCCCATCCATGGTGAAGCAATCACATTCCACGTACCGTATACACATAATTAAAGAATGCCATGTGCTCCAGGAATAACAAATAGTCTAGTGAAAAGCATACATATGGAAGTGGCGATTGTGCCTGCAGTCCACTCTGTAATTGCCTCATTATAAGAAATGTAGAGACAGATCTGGAGGGAGGCACATGTATAGCTGATATTCTACGCAGCGAGAAACATAGCAAACAACAAAATCAGCTCAGGTGGAAAGAAGGTGCGGACGACATTTGAGAGGTTTGGGGAGAATACAAAGGACTTCCTTAGGTCTTCCAAGTTCCAAAGTAGATCAGCAAAGAGAATTCTCTCTCTCGGGTTGACCTCTGTAATATACACACAGAGAAGACCATACAGTTATTCTAAAGTCTCATTTACCTCAACCAAATACTGGGCATTATTTATCTTTGGCCATGATCTCAGACGGATAGTAAACCTTTACCTGGGTTGTACCACCTCAGATTGCAGGCGGGGGGGGGGGGCATTGCTCATGTGACCAAACATTCCTTTGTACAAAAGGAATATAACATTTTTGGGCACATGGAGAAATAGCATGTCGGGGAGAAGGCTAGGCTGGACCTCTTCTCCCTGACATCCAGTTTTCCATGTGAATTATATTTTTTGGAATGATAGGCATTCAGTTTTTGCATGCATGCTGCAGTTGTACAGCCCTAGGCCCACGTTCGCTGTCCCCATGTGTCCCCAGGCTTAGATGTGAGACTTTGTAGGAACTCAGTACTCTAAGCTTGTTTAAGCTTGTGTGAGAGAGGGGGGAAGGTGGGGGGAGAGAAGGGTAACGTGACATACCAATGGCAATGTAATTCATTAAAGCAAATGAGCAAAAGCGTTGTGTCAACTCCTATCTCTAAAAGGCTGGGAACATGACAGCCACAGGGTGGCAGCAAAGGGTCAGAAGTGTGAAAGCTTTCTTACTGATCAGGGCAGTGACAACACAAACAAGAAATCGATCCAAATGGAATTTTTAAAATGAACAAATTTCCTGTGCTTACAGTGTGCGAGTCCAAGGTCACATCTTTTGCTACACATGTGAATTAGAAAGTCATATAGTTGCTTTAGATTTCAACAGTTACAATATTCACGATCAATTCCTTAATAACTTTTAACTTTCATTTTCAGTATATTGGAACCTCCGTTGAGAAAACCTCAATTACCCAACTAAAAAGCCTACTTAATCCACACTCATTTTTGTCCTTCACATATGTCAAATCTCTCTAAATAGTACTTTCATTAATCCAAAGTACATCATTTGAGTTTTCTGGATAACATCTCCCCTAACCTTACCTAACCTTTTGCTAATTAAACCATTTGGTTTCAGGAAATTTGCAGTAAAATTGTTACTTTCTTTGTTGGGTTGTGCAACTTGCAGTTGGTACATGTCGTATCAAGGGTGAGCCCAGATAGGGCTTGCTTTAGGATTAGGCAAAGATCTCAATTCCAAAAGAGTGTAAGAGAAGTTTTGTTGTTCATCCCTTATGAGCATCCCTGCTTGCAGTTTTTTATGATTACGATATCTTTATTGTCATTGTCCCTTGCGGAACAATGAAGGGACAATGACAATAAAGATATCGTAATCGTAAAATCGTTCTTTTGCCAAAGTTTGTGTTCCTTTTTGTTCTTCTCATTTGGACAAGACTTCCAGTTTATGAAGGAAGACTTCTGTCTCTAATAGCTCATTTGACTACTTGTTAACCCCACTGGCATCCTCTTACTCCTTTTCTGACCTGTAGTATGCATTTCAGTTGAGCTTCTAATATTGTGTTTTTCAACAACACCCTGCCATTTTGGAGTGACAAAACCTTATTGACTTTGACTTTCAGCTTCCTTTTTATTAATCCCCTCATTTTTGCGAAGTTTTCTCTTTTGACAAATGTTACCATGTTGAATTTTCTTGGCAATTTCCCATTTACAGGTGTGTTCACTTTAATAGCGCTATCGTCACTGTTCCCAATTGGTTCAGCAACACTTATAGCCTGCAGCAGGTTCTGGGCACCACCAAATATTAAGCCCGGGGTGCTGCCCTCTGGTCGGCTCCATGACTATATGTACTATAAAAAGGTAAAGGGACCCCTGACCGCTAAGTCCAGTTGCGGATGACTCTGGGGTTGCGGCGCTCGTCTCGCTTTGCTGGCCGAGGGAGCCGGCATTTGTCCGCAGACAGCTTCCGGGTCATGTTGCCAGCATGACTAAGCTGCTTCTGGCGAACCAGAGCAGCGCATGGAAATGCCATTTACCTTCCTGCCGGAGCAGTACCTATTTATCTATTTGCACTTTGACGTGCTTTCAAACTGCTAGGTTGGCAAGAGCAGGGACTGAGCAATGGGAGCGGGGATTCGAACCACTGACCTTCTGATTGGCAAGTTCTAGGCTCTGTGGTTTAGACCACAGCACCACCTGTGTCCCATATGTACTGTACTAGAGCAATTATTAGGGTTTCAATAAATTTCACCCATTTGTCATGACTGGAACACATATGTGATGGTAGTTGAAGTCACCCTTTTCTGCATGCTTCCTTGATTTTATTCTTCATCTCAAGATCTCCCTGATCATTCTGAACGTAGATGATCGCACATCCCCAGTATTAAATTACTCTTGGGGTCCTGTATTACTACCCACAACCAACCTGTGGGGGAATCTGCCCCTTTGGAGATTTCTAGCTTGCTTAACTTAATCTCCTGTTTGCATTGCTTGTTCTGTCTTTTGAGGGAGGGCACAGCAACTACTATGCTACCCCACTAAAGAGGGATTCCCAGAGAATATTTCACAAGGGCATTTAAAATGCCTGGAGAAAAGCCGGAAGGAGCCCTGCAAAGAAACTGGAAATAATAGTATGAATGCCAGAGATGGATGATATAATCATGGTTTTGATTTTGCAACTTTAATTCAGTGCAAGCAATTCCTATGTAGAAAGGAGCTCTTGATGCCTTTTGTAAAATAGTTGTCAGCTTTAACAACCCTTACATTGCCTTATTTAAATATTCTCAACACAAATCACATCTTAATAAGCTTTGTTAAGAAAAATGTAGGGCAAGATTGTGAAACTCTTTGCAGATCAGTTGATAACTAAAACGTTTATACCTTTTGGGATACAGTTACTGTTATGGTAAGATGATGGGAATTAGTGTCTGCCGCGTGTGGGAGAAAGCAATCCCAGATCTGTAAGGTTTCTTTATTTATTTAGAGCATGTCTACCTTGCAGCCTCTCAGTCCTCACCACAAAAACCTTTCAATGCAGCTTATGTGGAATAAAGGAAGACAGCCCCTTCCTGTGGGCTTACAAAAATACACAACACTAAAGAAAGAGGGAAAGCAAACTCAGGCACCAATTCTTAAATAGCGGTTCTTATAAGTACTAGCTCAGGAATGGAGAATTCAGAAATGGGTTGGGGGAAGGGGAACCTAGTGGAGCTGGCCTTCCAGCAAAGCCAATGGAATGGGGCCTGCTCCCATCTCGCCCACAAAGGCAGGCAGCCGCCTATTGGAATGGCTGCTGTCACATGACATTTGTGGGAGATGCAAATAATTCATTTACAAACGCACAATAGATATAATAAAAATATATACTGTATGTGGAAAGGCAACGGGGGTAAAGAAGCCAAGAAGGAAATGGGTCAGAAATAATCAGGAAAACAGAGAAATAAAGACTGATAAGATGCAATTTGATTTATGGGTCATAAGATGCAGACATGTTGCATTAATACTAGTTATTTAAATTTGCTAAAAATAATGGTTTGAGATGCCTGGGTGACCCCCCTCTTTGATAGTTCTCTGCTTTCATAAAATGTGTTAGATTTTTAGAGCCCAGTACAGTGGTACCTCGGGTTACAGATGCCTCAGGTTACAGACTCCGCTAACCCAGACGGACATCCAGAACGAATTAAGTTCTTAACCTGAGGTAATACTGTAAATAAAAAGTGTTCCTGCAAGCCATCTTAAAGTTAGAACTGTTTCCTTATGTTCGCTGAAAGCAACTCTGCTCCCTATGCACAAAGACGGTAGGTTGTAGACGGACCCCTCTCATGATTTCAAAACACAGAATAATCCTCCCCTCGTACTTGTACCCTCTCCCCCCATGATGCTGCTGTTGTTGAATCTAGCATTATGTAGTCCACCAGGCCATTGAGGGCATGTGTGCTTGTGAGCATACAGACGCATGTCAACCTGCCAGGTGTTTTTCTCTTGTGAACATTACGGTAATATGGTATTCACCTGGAGATATTACTTGCTGCACATACAGAGTGCAACTCTCAGGTTCTGGCTCTGCCTTGTCTGTGGCAGATACTGCCCGGGTGGGAGGAAGTGTGCAAGGGAGGGAATAACACTGACCGACTTTAGGATCCATGTGTGGGTCTTTACCTTACCCATATTACACAGTAGCAGCCCACCTACCCGTCCATTCTGCATATTTCAAAAACAAGAACCGCTTTGCCTTCTGTTGGGCAGCATGAGGCAGCTGCCCAAGGCTGCTGATTTGGGGTGTAGTAAAAGCGCAGCGAAAGGGACGCGGGTGGCGCTGTGGGTAAAAGCCTCAGCGCCTAGGGCTTCGAATCCCCGCGGCAGGGGTGCGCTCCCGCTGCTCGGTCCCAGCGCCTGCCAACCTAGCAGTTCGAAAGCACCCCCGGGTGCAAGTAGATAAATAGGGACCGCTTACTGGCGGGAAGGTAAACGGCGTTTCCGTGTGCTGCGCTGGCTCGCCAGATGCAGCTTGTCACGCTGGCCACGTGACCCGGAAGTGTCTCCGGACAGCGCTGGCCCCCGGCCTATAGAGTGAGATGGGCGCACAACCCTAGAATCTGTCAAGACTGGCCCGTACGGGCAGGGGTACCTTTACCTTTTACCTAAAAGTGCAGCGAATTGTTCCTTATTTATATTAATGCCTTTTGTTCCTCTCAGCGAGAGGCTGCTTGTAAAGTTTTCAGGAGCCAAATAGCTAAGTTGGCCTTGAATGACTACTATGCTTCTTGACTGGGGATGGGGAGGGGTAAGGGGGAGACACTGCTATTTCTCCTCAGGCAGCAAAATGTTTTAGGAGTGTCCCTTTTCTCCCTCACCTGTGAGAAAACCAGTGGGAGAAGGCGATTTTGAGCTGCAAGGTGGCAGGAGTGGAAAGTATTAATCAGGATGTATACACATCATACATTTAAAGCACCCCCCAAAATGAATCTTAGTTCACCCCTCAGAGCTATAATTCCCAGCACCCTTAAGTAATCGTCAGAGGGCGTGTGCTGCGTACTCTCCCGGGCAGCTTCCAGTTACGACATACTGTAGCCCTTCCCCAGGATCCTTTAAGGTTTTTTCTTTAAGCAATAAATTTCATGCAACTCCTCGTAACCATCCCCCCACATACTCCGCATGCCAGACAAGTGCCGATGCCGCTGTATTACCGTATTTCGTAATGTCTGAAATCAAAACGAGCCTACAAACAGAAGAAAGGCTACTGTGGAAAACATTAAAAGCAACAACTTTATTACAGCATAATAAAACGTTTAAAGTCTTTAAGAGTCCTCTTACTCTTTTTCTTTTTGCTACTCCAAACCCAACCCAACACGAAACTAAACCCAAGGGATACACGCCGCGGGACGGAGGCAATCACGGCTTCCGGTCAGGCACCGCGGTGATTACAGACACGCGTCTTTCCCTTACAGACGTTAGAAAGGTACTCCGCGCGAGCCACAGGCGGTCAAAGTCCTCAGGCCACAGCGGAAATCGCGGGGTGAGAGCCGGGACGGGTTGCGCCCTGTTCCGCCGAGAAGTGGCCCCGAAGAAGTAGCCACAGTCGCCAGCGCCGGCTATCAGGACACAGCCCGAGGGGACAAGCGCTTTCTCTGTCCCTGCCTCTCTCTTGCCAGACTTCTGAGCGCGCCAACCCGGGCTGCGCCTCCCTCCCAAGGAAGTCATTTGTCCTACAAGGGCGTCCGCTCCGCTCCACTCCTCGACGACGGCGCTGGGACGCGACCCAAAGGCGGGAACGGGCTGCTGCGGAAGCGGCCCGGCACAAGGAGGCGGGCTGAGTGCCGCCCTCGGCGCGCTGTCCCCGCCCGGTCCCGTCCCGTCCTCCGCCTGGGAGCCTCCCCGGCCAGGTGTGTAGTCGGCGCCGAGTTCAGAGAGTCCGAGACGGCGGTGGCTGCGGCGGGGTGAGTCCATGGGGAAGTCGCGCTGTATGGGGTCGAAAAGGAGCTCAGAGGGGCTAGGTGGGCGGTGCTGCCGGCCTTACCTTTCGCCTAGGCTTGCCCCTGCTCGCTTTCTTTTCCAGTCCACGAGCGCGTAGCGGGATCTGAGCGCATGGAAGGGGCGAAACTTCTCGCTCTCCTGCCCCGAGGGGGATTTGCGCGGGGCGCTCTCCCCTCCGGGGGGAGAGGGCTTTTCCCGCCTGGGTCAAGTCGAGCGAGGGCAATGCCGCCAGCCTGGCTTTCGCTTCTGCTCCGGAGTTGGCCTCCGCTCGCAGCAGGGCACACTAGTAGACACCCATTGCCCACAACTATCACACGGCTTTTCTTTTCTTTTAATGCACCCTTTGATATGCGCGCCCACGAAAAATGCAGTGTGCGAAAACAACAAGGAGAGGTTCGTTTGGCATCCTCACTTGCTGCGCTTTAGCCAGCAAACAAGAAGCTATTAAAATAGTCGATGACTGTACCTCCTTCCTGATATTCTCTTGATAGATGGGTGTGTCAAGGGCACTTGCTTTTTTCTGATTTAGTCCTGGTAGTGTTTTGCTGTGCTTTTGGAGCTGTACTTATTATTATTTTTAATGGTGCGTGTGTGTATATATATATATATATAATTGATATTTATTCAAGCTGCTTTAAGGTTGAAAGGTGAGGCAAAAATGTTTCATCCCGAAACAGTGCTTGTTGGTGTGTGTTATGCAGGTAGGGTTGCCAGGGACTTTGGCCTTGCTGGGGCTTCCCAGTGAGTGTACACTCCTGGTGCCAAATGTGGTTTTGCTGTTGTGTAATGTTTGAAGTCATAACCCCCTTAAACCCCTCCATCTTTTCAGTTGTGCACTGGGGAAATAAACTTACTGGGTGATTCATGTTATTGCACTTGTTTGGGAGTAAACTCAGTTGAACTTCATGGCATTCCTGAATAAGCATGCATAGGATCAGAGTTAATGGATGGAGATATTTCTACAGGAGAGTAGGCACTTAAAATAAAGTATCTGGGTGTTCCATTATTATGTGTTAGCCACACCCAAGAATGCACCTTTGCACTGTGTGCGCAGTTCCTCCCGTATATGTAGGATTGTGTGTGTGCTGCACCCAGTGATAATGAGATTTGATTATCCAGATCACTTAATGTTTGCTTCATTTGTTAATTCAAAGAGAGAGCGCCATTTTTTTTATTCTTTGGGGATTTCAGGAATATTGAAAACTGCATTATAGAAAATCAGACCATTGGTCTATCTAGCTCAGTGCTGCCTACACTGACTGGCAGCAGTTCAGCCAGGGATTATTACCAGGCCCACCTGGTGATGCTGGAGATTGAACCAGGGATGTGAATGAAAGCAGATGCCCTACCACTGAGAAACGAAAATATATCACATAAATTCAGAGGCATAGCTGGGGGCACTGAGTGCCACACTGCAGGGGGTGACACTTACCATGGGGCCTGCAGCTCGCCCGAGCCATACGTCTCTCCTGGAAGTGATGCGGTAGCTCAGGTGCCTGCAGGTTCTGCGCTGCCCGAAATGGCAGCGTGGGGCTTGCACCCGCTCTCCCTCAGCTACCCTACAACTGAGGGGGAGGCAGCGGTGAGGCTCCAGGCAATGCGCCCTGCCCCAACTTGCCCCGCCCAATGTAAAACTGACTGTAAATATTTAATATTATGCTGCTGCATAAATTAAAAGTGGCAAGAGGTCACTAAAAACATACCATGTTTTTCCATGTATAAGACGCCCCCATGTATTTTTGGGGACTCCAAATTAAGAAAACACCCCTCAGCACTATCCGTGTATAAGACAAGCCCCAATTTTAAACCTAATTTTTTGGTAAAAAACAAACAAGCCTAGTCTTATACACGGAAAAATACAGTGTATATATATAAATTTATGCAATCTGGTATGATTTTATTTCCTTTTCAAACTCTGAGGCCTTTGGCAGTGGGGTTGTCCCAGCATCCAGTATAGAATGGTGGGGGTAACCTTGTTTCTTGATTCCAGAAATAGAAAGGTTTATATGGCAGACATTATTAGAAATGAAATAAGGCTCACGAAGAAGTCAGTCCCAAATTGCCAAAAGCATCTGGCAGTTTTATCATCCAGATTATGTAAAAACCAGAAATATAAGGAAAGGGAATTATTATATTGGTTCAGTTACTTGAAGAATGTAGTAAAAATAACTGTCTTGTCAAACTTTAATTAATAATAGATGTACCAGTCATCTGTTGTTATGTTTTACTTTTTTGTATTCTATTGTTTGTATTGCCATATTCAATTCAATTAAAATGATTAATATGAATAATTTTAATTCAATTTTTAACATTACTAAAACCTTTTTAAAATAAACCCACTGTGCAATGAACCCATTGATAGTCAGTGTAAAACTGCCTGTAAATATTAACTGATGTAGACCAATTACATACATAGGAAATAATCCTTACGAAGTTATTATTATTACATACTCCACCTACTTTTTGGTATAATTTTTACTGAGAAAAGAAAGGAATTGTGTGTTTTTTTAATCCATGAGATTTTGACACCCTAGATCCTTTACTGTCTGGTGAAAACATCAGATCAAAAGCAACAACTCTTAGGACACAGATGTGATGGTGGGCATCAGCTAAAAGTTGTTGAGTTTTCTTGGCAAAATCACAATTTATTTGCCAAAAACAACACTGCCGACATGGATTGCCATACATCTGGATTTTCACGAACATTGTATGGCTGGATTTTCACGGACAGTATAGCCTCTGTAGAGGATTCCTTTACACAAGGAGATCCAACTCCCTTTTATTGTGCGACCCACAAAAACTTATGCTGTAAGAAGGGAACTTCTGTTTCAACTTTTAAACACCTTCTGAAAACTTTTCTATTCCACCAGGCCTGTCCAGGCAGTTAAGAATACATCTTCTCATAATTGTTAACTGATTTCTGCTTTTAACTGGTTTTTACAATATGCTATTATGCAGGGCTTTTTTTTCAACCAGAACTTGCCGGAACCCAGTTCTGGCACCTCTCAGGTGGGCACCATTGCTATTATAAGAGAACAAGGCAGGTGTTCATGGTGAGTTCCGGCACCTCTTTTTCTAGAAAAATAGCACTGGTTTTATGTATTTTATTTTTTGTTGTTGTAAACCTGTAGAATGCCCTTCCATTGGATGTCAAACAGATAAACAACTATTCAACTCTCTAAAGGCAGCTCTGTATTGGGATGTTTTTAATTGTGTGATGTTTTGCTGTGTTTTTATTAAGTTGGAAGCTTCCCAGAATATGAATATTTTTATAAATAAAATATAAAAATATAAGGAATCTGTTCATCTTTTAGGTGCCACAGAACTGTTGCTGCAGCAGACTTAACACAGCTTCCAAATATCTTCCTCTTCTATCGGATGCTCCGTAATACTTAAATGCAAGCTTGTTTTCTTTTTTCTTCAATGTCAGTCATTCATATTTGCTCTCCTTTTCAGCTGCAATGCGATGGTAGACTATTCTGGATGGATTTCAGCTCCACACAGAACTGAAAAGCTGAGGTAGTCTCTGAGGTCTGGGACTCTGCATTACTGTTACCTCCCAAGTATGGGTGTATCATTGTTATTTTGCCTCACATTGGGGTTATTGCCCACAATAATCATTGGGAAGGCATGGCAATGCCCACCTCGATGGTCTGACTCAACCAGAGATTTCACAGTGAAGTACAGCTTCCCTACATTCGATGCTGGGAGTTCCATTCAGAACATTGTCACTTCTGAGTACGATGATGCGATCTTTGTTGCAGTTCGGAACAAGATCTTCATGTTGAACTCAAAGATGGAAATTCTGTCCACGATAGTGACTGGTCCCTGGGGTAACGCCGCGTGTGAGATCTGTGCCAAGTGCCCCGTGAAAGGGCCAATGAACCCCGAAGATACAGATAACATAGTTCTGGTGTTGGATCCTCAAGAATTTTGGCTTTATAGTTGTGGGACTTCCCATCATGGAGTCTGCTTCCAGCATGAGATTGAAAAAAATGGCAATGTGTCAGTTGACACCAAATGCCTGTTCTCTGCTAAATTTAACAGGCCTTCTGAGTGTCCAGACTGTGTGGCCAGTCCTTTAGGCACTAGAGTTGTAGTTGCTGATATGGCACACACGGCATACTTTTACGTTGCCTCTACCATTAACAGAAACATTGCGGAGACATATAGCCCCAAATCCGTATCTATACGGAGACTCAAGAGTAACGCGGAAGGGTTTGACCATCCTTTCCACTCCTTAACGGTGCTACCTGCATTTCAAGACACATACCCAATTAACTATGTGTATTCCTTTGAATACCGGAACTTTGTATATTTTCTAACAGTCCAAAAAGAAAACCCTGAGTCCAATGTGTACCACACTAGGATTGTACGGCTCAGTACTGATGAAACGGAAGTGCACACGTACCGTGAACTGAACTTGGACTGCCGCTTTAACACCAAGCGGAAAAGGAGTCTTGGGGCAACCCCCAGGGATGTTGTTTTTAATGTTTTGCAAGCAGCTCATGCTACTCAGCCTGGCCCGAAACTGGCTCCTGAGATCACTGTCAGTGATGCTGACAGGGAACTGGTTCTCTTTGGGGTGTTTGCTGAAAGCCTGCCAGGCAGTAAAGTGCCCCGGAATTACTCGGCAGTTTGCGCTTTCCCCGTGAACAAGATAAATGAGGCTATCGATGAAGGGATGAAGGAGTGCTGCAATGTGGATGTCCACAACCGTGTGCCTCGAGGACTGAAGTTTTATCAAGGTTTGGAGTATTGTCCACATAATGTGAGTTCCCAGCAATCATTTCCTGTCTTCTTACATGAAATTATTGTATGTGATATCAGAGGTGATTCTTAGGCCTGGTTGGAGGAAATTATCATTAGTGACTTATATACAGTATTTTTTACAGGCTTTAAAAAATATATTCAAAACAGTTATTTGAGTTATTTGCACTAAGGCCCATTTTAAAGACAGGAAATTAAGAAACTGTGAAGCAAGGTTACATGAGCATTGTATATTTACGTCAGAACAGACAGAAACAAGTGGTAGAGGGGTTGCCTGGGTGTTAGTAGGGGAGCCCAGCGCTTTGGGACTCCACCTTTTGGGGCGGTTTGGGACTCTGCAGTTTGCCAGCAAGGTACAGACTGCCCATCAAGTGTAGGGAACCAAAAAACAACACCCACCCACCTGGGTAAGGGCAAGGTTAATGAAACAAAGCACAGGCCAGAGGAGAGTTTCTGCACTGACTTTTAGACAAAAGAGAGACCTAGCTTCCTTCAGGCAACAGAAGGGTCTTAACAAGAGAGAATCTGAATAAGATTGGTGAGACGTTACAAGGCTTCTATTTCTGCCAGAGTGGGGAAGCACTGCTTCAGATGTTGGGGGAGCCAGAAGAGTCAAAAAGACACACCACTCTTCCTCATTGGACTCAGTTCTGCTATCATCCCTGGTAGGGTGGCTGCTGTATTCCTGAGTTGGTGTCTGAGTGTCTTTTCTGTACCTCTCCACCTAGCTGAAAGAACTGTTTAGAGCTTTTTTCTGTTACCCTTTCCATTAGTTCCCACTTGTTCCCATTGTCTGCCTTTTCTGAAAAGCAGGATCGTTCCTTGTATCCACAACCTGAGTGTTTGGTTTTGCTACCTTTATCAGAAATGCCTTGGCTGTCCAAGGGCAGAATCTGGTGGGGGTGGAATGGAGCTGGCCAGCTGTAAACATGGCAGATGTGGGCTTTTAACCTGAGTACAAATCCCAGCACTGTAGCCACCAGACCATATTTGTTAACTGAGGTGAACTGACATGACACAAAACCCCAAGAGACCTCTGCTGCGTCCTCTCTCTCTCTCTCTCTCTTTTGAAAAAACATTTCTTCAGACCTTGATACTAGTACTGTTTTTCATGAAACATGAGGGTTCTGTCAAACGTTTGCAAACTTTATTTATTTTTTTATTACATTTATTACATTTCCAGGCAGTTAGTAAAGTGGTAAAAATTACAATACAAATGCAGTCAAACGTCAGTTGTCGAACATTATCTCTTCCGGAAGCCCGTTCAGCTTCCGAAATGTTCGACAACCGAGGCGCTGCTTCTGATTGGTTGCAGGAGCTTCCTGCACACACGAGAAAGCTGCGTTGGATGTTCGGCTTCCGAGAAACATTTGAAAACTGGAGCATTTTTGGCGTTTGGGAGCTGAAACATTCCAAAACAGAGGCGTTTGGGAGCCAAGGTTTGACTGTAAAACAAAACCATAATTTAAAAATGTAAAAACATAACAGACTGCAAACATTAATCTTACATATCCTCACAGTTAATAATTTCAGGGTTGCTGGGAACAGTATCTTTCAGCCATCAAATATTTCTTCTTTATTAACATGTTGGAACACTTACCCAGTTTCATGATATCATTCTGTTGTACATTCTCCACCCAGGCTAATGACCTCCAACAATATGTTGGGTGAAGGAGAAAACACACAGTTTGGTAATATTATGGTACTGAAAGGGTTTTTGCACATGCAGGATGGCTGGTTAACCTTTGGTCCTCCAGATGTTGCTGGACTACAGCTCCTATAATCCCTGACCACTGGTCATGGCAGCCAGGGCTGATGGAAGGTGGAGTCCAGCAACATCATCTGGAGGTCCACAGATTGGTCTACCCCTACGTTACAGGGAAGATGGAGAGAACCAGACTCTGGGTTGCCATTTTTAGCAGCAGCTCCATGCTATGAGCAAAGCATAGTTCCTTTCTCATTCATCTCATTCATCAGAAGAACTGATCAAAATCCTGTATGCTTGGTTTGTGGATGCCAGTGCAAATCCCCTAAAGATCCAGGATAAGGTTTTTTTCACCTTTAATAATAACCTTACTTAATTTGCTGATTTTTCATTAAACTCAAAGCAAGGTACAGTAGTAGTAATAATTATTATTATTATTATTATTAATTATTATTTATACCCTGCCCATCTGGCTGGGTTTCTCCAGCTACTCTGGGCGATTCCCAACAGAATATTAAAAATAAAATCCAACATTAAAAACTTCCAATAATAATAATAATAATAATAAAGGTACCCCTGACCATCAGGTCCAGTCGTGACCGACTCTGGGGTTGCACGCTCATCTCGCTCTATAGGCCGGGAGCCGGCGCTTGTCCGCAGACAGCTTCCGGGTCACGTGGCCAGTGTGACTAAGCTGCTTCTGGCGAACCAGAGCAGCACACGGAAATGCCGTTTACCTTCCCGCCGGAGAGCGGTCCCTATTTATCTACTTGCACTTTGAGGTGCTTTCAAACTGCTAGGTTGGCAGGAGCAGGGACCAAGCAACGGGAGCTCACCCTGTCGTGGGGATTCGAACCGCCGACCTTCCGATCGGCAAGTCCTAGGCTCTGTGGTTTAACCCACAGCGCCACCTGCGTCCCAAATAATAATAATAAGTGCATACTAATCCATAAAAGTGTGTGCTACAATAAATCTGTTATTCTGTAAGATTCCACAAGGCTCTTTGTTGTTTTAGCTTCAACAGACTAGCATGGTTACGCATCTGGAAGTTGTTAGATATATTGATAACTCCTGTGGGAATTCTTTATAGGTTTGTTTCCAGACCAGCATTTTAATCTTTATAGTCCAAGATTCTCTAGAACTTACCCATTGATTAAAAGTATTGCTGATCTTCATTTATTTATCAGAATGGCCACAATACGTTCAAATACTAGGGAAATAAGATACTTTGAATAACGGAGGGTGGGGTGCTACTAGAATAACAAGCATCATGTTTCGAGCCAATGTGGTTTCTGGAATTGCATGTTTTAAGGCTTCTGGCATGCTGGGGATTATTTTTTTAAGTTTTAAAACAGAATCAGTCAAAGCATACTTATCTTCCTTCTTTGAGTCCCCTCCCCACGCCAACACACACGTGCTCTCCCGAATCCTTTTCACATTCTGTGCCTCTGGCTTTCTTTGTTGTTGTTTTTTAATCTACCCATTTCATTAATATTGAAGCTGTGAAGCAGTCTCCATCTCAGTCTACGTTCATCAGCTTCACTACCATCATTTAGCACATGCAGCTGTTTCATGGCTACTTGCTGCAACATGTACTTCCGCTTCTTTAAAAGGGAGTGGGGAGGCTTTTGTGTTGGTGGGTGTTTACAGAGTCTCCCATGGCGATGATGTTATTGCATCACTTTCGTTAAAGCTGGAATATAATAAGATAAAATGATTAGTCCAACGAGTTTACGCCGGATGGGGGCAAAACCAGAATTCAGTTGTGGTGGCTGGAATCCAAGTGCACACCCTTTCTGAAGCGTAGGCAGTCGGAAAATCAAGTATTTCTCCTTTGAAATCTTTTTCGTAATCTCCCTGCTGGGATGGGTTGGGAATGTGCATTTGGTTTGGGCTCTTATGATTGAACAGAGGTGGGAAAGGGTAATTTAAGAAGCACCACTGCCCTTAGGCCGGCGTTGGCGTTCCTCAGTGCCGCAGCATGCATGCTACAGTTTGCTTTGGTACCTGATATCCCAGGCATGCTTACAAACACGGAAGAAATACATAGCAGCTCCAATGTGTGCGAAATTTGGTCCATGTGTTCCTTATGGCCCCATTTCTTTACTCAAGGGCGCGATCTGCTTGTGCAGGCAGCGTAGGGTATAAGAATGTAAGAAGAGACTTGCTGGATCAGGCCAAAGTCCCACATAATGTTGCCTTTGGTTCTCACAGTGGCCAACCAGATGCCTATGGAAAGCATGCCAGCAGAAGTGCAACAGTGCTCCCCACAGGTGGAATTCCCAGCAAGTAGTACTGCCTCCTCTAGCATTGAAAACAGAGCACAGCCATGGTAGCTGTTTTAAAACCATTGAAGTTGGTGGCCATCACTGCTTCCCCGGGGGACCAAATTCCATTACAGTGGTACCTTGGGTTACAGACGCTTCAGGTTACAGACTCCGCTAACCCAGAAATAGTACCTCGGGTTAAGAACTTTGCTTCAGGATGAGAACAGAAATTGCATGGCGGCAGCAGGAGGCCCCATTAGCTAATAATAATAATAATAATAATAATAATAATAATAATAATAATAATAATAATATCTTTATTGTCATTGCCCCCTCTCGGGGACAACGAAATTACTTGGCTGCTCCATCCACCCAGGTAGGGCACTCCACACAAAATCAAAACAACTATAAAAACACTAATTAAAACAATACAATATAAAACAGCAAGGAAGATTAGATGACTTTCAAAGTCCAGGCTTCCCATTCAGGGCCGAGATCGCTCTGGGGAAGAAGCTGTTCTTAAGACGGCTCATTCTTGTCTTCATCGTCCTGTATCTCCGTCCTGACGGCAGGAGCTCGAAGAGACAGTGACCAGGATGCGATGGATCTTTTACTATGTCCAGTGCCTTCCTATGGCACCTTGTGGCATAAATCTGCTCTAAGGTGGAGAGTGGGCAGCCAACAATGCTCTCTGCTGCCTTAACAACTCTGCACAACCCCAACCTGTCCCGAGTAGTACAGCTTCCGTACCACACACATAAGCCATAAGTGAGCACGCTCTCAATGGCACAGTGATAGAAGGCAAGCAGCAGTTTCTGCGGAAGATGGTTTTTCCTTAGAATTCTCAAAAAGTACAGTCTCTGCTGCGCCTTCTTCACAAGCCCCCTTGTGTTGACACTCCAGGACAGATCCTCTTGTAATTCAATGCCCAAAAATCTGAACGTTGTTACCCTCTCCACACAGACCCCATCAATCAAAAGTGGCTGGACATTGCTCTTCTGTCTCCTGAAGTCCACCACAAGCTCCTTT